CCCCCCCCCCCCCTCACCTGAATCTCTTCGTTCTTGAGAACCTGAGGACCGGTCGCCTCTCGCACGTTGAGCAGCTTACCCTTGAGCGGGAACACCCCGTATCGGTCCCTTCCCACCACGCCCAGCCCGGACACGGCCAGGGTCTTGGCGGAGTCCCCCTCGGTGAGGATGAGAGTGCAGTCCTGTGCCCATCAACGAAATACGTCAAATGTGATCTAGGAGGCAGCGCCTGATTTCATGCAAACTTGAACTTCAATCTTTTGCAATGGAATAACTTCAGGGAAAAATCGAACGCGGCCAATGTAATTCAAGGAAAAAATCGATCGGAGGGAAATGACGTTTGCTGCGGGTTGGGGAGGAAAGAATCACACCGAGCGTCCGTCCCCGTCGGCAACGGCAAGGCCCCACCTACAGTGCTGCCGTGAACATGCCCCTGTGTTGTCGTTTTCGACAGAGTACCAATAACAGTGTCTGAGGATAGCGGGCGCGAACAGCACCATACCGAGATTCGCGATGTAGCCGCCGTGACTCTTCGAGAAAGATGGAGAAATATTACGCAGCAGTCTCGTGTCCAGCCCCTTCTTTCAGTTATTCAACAACCAAGAGGCACCTACAGTACCAACCACGCCTTACCTGAGACTTGGCGGTCCCGGCATGGTTGGCATCGTCAAGCTTGGTGATTCCGGTCTGCATCGCCGCGCACAGAACCAATAATCGACGGGGTGGGATAGTGAGGGCACAGCAGCAATAGGTTGACGCCGCGAGAAACTCGAGATACCGGAATGACAGGCGGTTTCAACCTACAAGGAATTGTTGCTATTTTCGTGTGTTGAAAGGGCGTTCTCGCCAGCTCCGGATTCATGAACGGAGACGTGCGTCCGGTCGATGAACCACTTGTATCAAGAAATTGCGCGTTTCCCTTTTGTTTTTTGCGCGGGTCCAACGCGAGTACAACGACAAGCATGGCGCCTGGTGTGTGAGTGAGTGAGTCGATGTAATGTACCAACACGTCCAACAGGAACTAGTGTGTCCATATAAAAACCAATATACTCTTCTACCTTTGACAGAGTAGGTTGTGTCGACCCACCAACACAATTAGCATCGGAATCTATTGACCCACGCCCAGCCGATTCATCTGAAAAGTCCCCGATTGACGAAACATCCCCACCACTTCCGCGAAAAAACCGTCCCATCATCGCAAGGGCAAAATGTGCGCCGACAATGATACAAGTACGCGGAGGAAAGTGGCATCACTCAAGGCTCACCAGCTTGCTGCTCTTCTTGCCCGATTTCTTGTTCAGCTGTTGGTTCTGCTTGTGCTTGGCCCACGACAGCACCCTGACACACAAAAAAAAAGAGCAAAAGGCATGTGATAAAACAAATGGGGTCAGACTACTGTAGACGCAGCGGGGGGCGGTCCACCCTCCCCTCCTCCGCACGGGCCACCCAAAACCATCAAGCCGCGCATGCTGCCACCATGACCCTGGTGGTACCACCATCACGGATGAATTGAGCAAGGAAACGAAGCAAATTCAACATACACTGAGGGTCTCGGTTTAGCGATCCCCTGTTTAGCGACATGCCCGGCTTGGCGACCACGAAATCACGTGGCACCACCGCACCCCGTTAGTGCAACTGTTAGAGGAATCACGTGGCACCACCGCACCCCGTTAGTGCAACTGTTAGAGGATTAATTGATAGTTCGGTTTAGCGACCTGCCCTGAATAGCGGGCACATTTCCTCGTGGCACTACTGAAAGGGGTTTGCTAAACCGGGCCCCCCACTGTACTGCGCATCCTCAGCACAGGAAACCGCGTGCGAAAAACACACAAGACACACTGCGCGACAGCAATGAAAACAAGAAGGCGTTCGTACAGGGCTACCGTAGGTGCCGCAAGATACCACCCACCCACCCACCCACCCCTGTACCGAGCTCGAGTACTTCACGACGAAAACGATGCACACAACAGCAAACGACACGTTTTCGGAAAAAAAGCTCTCGACCAGCCGGTTCCGTCGTCACTCTTGTTGCTGTAGAGCGGTATGTAGCAATCCAGCTTTCCAAATCGGTCCAGTGGGTGTGAGATCTAACGTCTCACTCGGTAACGTCGTCCGTATACCCTCACCGGTCGACGATCTCGCTCTTCTCCAGCTTTTTGAGCCCGGCGTCGCTGATCTTGGGCACGGAGCCGAACAGGGTGTCCTTCGAGGTCAGGGCTTCCTTGCTCTGCGAATTGAAAGCCGGGTTCTCGACCAGACCGTTCACGAACACGCACAGGTGGTTCTTGACGAAGTGACCCTTCACCTACGCGTGCATACGAGGGAGGGGGTCCGCGAGATATGTATGGGGGGTCGGGTCAGAGGGAAGCAACGGGGAGAAACCACCCAAAGTTCGGAAAATGCCGCGGTATCAATAATGTCGACGCCGGGGATGGATGCACAGATGTGGTTCGAAACCGGAACCAGGTTTACACATCGCCGATGGAAGGGTAGCGGTCATTTGTAGCCCACAAGAGGAGCTACGAACACAAGCCTTGAGCAAAACTATTCCACAGATCCTTCGACGCCGCCATTTTCGGAGCCGCCACTCTTTCCGATGTGAAAAAACAATTCGACCTTCGAAAATCAGTCCGGGGGGTGTGATATCTTACGTCACCTACGGTATTCAGCAGTCTTACCCTCACCGTTGGCCCGATACAGACGTCTACGGAGAGCCCTCAACGAGATGTACATAGGCGCTACCTGTATCTTGTCGTCCGGCTCTCTCTCTCTCTCTCTGTCTGTCTCACCTCGGCCTTGTGCTTGCGCTTGAGCACCGGAAGGAGCTTGTTGATGACCTGGTTGGCGACGCACTCCACGTGGGTGCCTCCCTTCACGGTGCAGATGGCGTTCACGTAGGACACCTGCTGGAACACGCTGTCTGCGCTCGCGGCCACGCCCACCTGTGCAACCGACCACCACGCCACACGGCAGGCCGGCGGAAATACACCCCCAGAGCAAACGAAAAACGAAAGGGCGAAGCCCTCGCAAGTCATACTTGTGGTTATGAAATGACGTCTTCTGCAACAACCGCAATACTCGGCAAAGACAAATGAAACAACACAAACAGGTAAAGGAAAGAAAAAAGATCAACTAAAACGTGTCGTGTAGAAGACGAATCACCCAGCAATATCATTCTACGCCCCCCCCCCCCCCCCCCCCCCCCCCCCCCCCCCCCCCCCCC